AGGCATCAGGATTTCTTATTATTAACTCACCTAAAGGTTTAAATGTGCAGCTGGGCTTATGAATTGTTTCCTTACATAGCCCCTGTTGTTGGTTTAAGGGATTGGGGAAGTGAATAGTGAAATCTACTAGAAGCTGGGAACTAAACTGGACTGTTCTAAACACACAGTCTTACCTAACATGTGTATCTGCCTTTCCGGTAGGCATTATTGACTCTCACTTTACCGAAAACAAATAAGAATTATCCAATGTTACAGGGTTTCCCTGCCTGGTTCTGCAACTGTATCAGCCCCAAATGCATACTCAGAGACTATTAATTATAATACTGTTGGCCACTGACTAGAGCTTCTTATTGGCTAGCTCTGTCTTAATTACTAACCCATTTCTATTAATCACAGAATCACAGAATGTTGCTATGAACATAGCTGAGCAAATGTCCTTGTAGTGTGAATGTGCTTCCTTTAGGTATATGCCCAAAAGTGGTATTGCAGGGCCTTGAGGTAGGTTCATCCCTAATTTTCTAAGAAATTGCCATACTGATTTCCACAGCAGCTGTGCAAGTTTGCATTCTGACCAGCAATGGAGGAACCCATTTACATTTCTATCTTGCCCTGCTAATACACAATTTGGGGTTGTGGGCAAGAGCCACATCTAACCCAAACACTAATTTTCCCTGGACCTACCACAGATAATGCACCCTGGAAAGGATTCCAAAGTTTTTCATTTTTCTCTTCAAAGATCTAAGTGTCTTGGTTTAGCTGACCACATGGTAATCATAAATCTGCCCTTTTCATGTTCTATTCATAATCTAAGGTTTAAGTCAGGTTGTGATTCCCCCTGACACATGAGATCTCCAGAAAACCCTTCCAGGCTACCAACTACAGTGTTATCTCACTTGATTAAAGACTGGCTATGAGGATCAGGATTTGGCACTGAGCTACCCTAAAAGACAAGATGGTGAGAGGATTATCTTGGGGGGAGGTAAATGTACCTCCTGTATGTAAAAGCTGTTTTGTGTTACATTGTCTTTTCTTTGTGCATATGTGCTGTGTTTTGTGTTGCATTGTTTCTGTTTTGTTTTGTTGAGACAGGGTTTCTCTGTATAGCCTTGGCTGCCCTGGAACTCACTCTGTAGATCAGGCTGGCCCCATCCTCAGAGATCCACCTGCCTCTCTGCCTCCTGAGTGCTGAGGTTAAAAGGTGTGTGCTACCACTGCCAGGTGTTAAACTTTTGGTATGCCTGTGTTATATAGGTATGTATGTCTGTATATGTGTATGCATTTGGGACTGTATATGTGTATACCTGCATGTGGAGGACACAAACTGATACTGGGTAACTTCCTCTATAACTCTCCCCTTTATCTTTTGAGGCAAGGCGTCTCACTGAGCCTGACACTCATCACATTGGCTAGGCTAGCTGGTTAGAAAGCCCCAGAGATCCTCTGGTTTCTATTTCCCCAGATCTAGGAGTACAGATGCTCTTGCTGTTTATGTGGATTGTAGGTGTCTGAGATCAGGTCCTCATTGTGGATGCCAGGGGGCTGAGATCAGATCTTCATGCTTGTACTTTACTCATTGAATCATTTTTCCAGCTTGCTTTGTTTTAGGGTTTTCTTTTCTTTCTTTTTTTAGGGGTGTGTGTGCGTGTGTGTGTGTGTGTGTGTGTGTGTGTGTGTGTGTGTGAGAGAGAGAGAGAGAGAGAGAGATTCCAAGTGCTAGCATACTATGATCAATTAATTTCACCAAGGATTAATTTTTAAAAATCAGGAATGCCCATGCCTGAGAGAAGGCAGAAAGATAATGAGTTTGAGGTCAATTTGAACTATAGCCAGACCCTGTCTCAATCAATCAATTAATCATTAAATCAGTAATAATTTGAATCACTCTCCCCCTAGGTAAATTGTTTGACTGCTTCCAGGGAGAGTATGATATAAAGAGTAACTTTAAAGACAATGCTCGTGTAAAGAGGTACAGGAAATGGAGTTGCAGTTTTCTGTCCCGACAGCCAGTTTTCAAATAACCACATGGAGATTTAATATTAATCATAAATGCTTGGCCGACAGCTTAGACTTGTTTTTTAAGTAGTTTTTCAGTAGTTTTTATAACCTAAAGTAACCCATTTCTATTCATCTGTGTGCTGCCTGAGGGCTCCTTTACCTCATGTGCATACTTATCGTCCTGTTCATTCTGCATCTCATGGCATCTCCCAGACTCTGCCCCTTTTCTCCCCAGCATTCTCTGTCTTGAAAATCCTCCCTAGCTGTCAGTCAATCAGCTTTTTATTAACAATGAGAGCAACTCATCTTTACAGTATACAAAAGGATTATTCCACTGCACGGAAAAGATGTTTGAGGTACCATTTGTGTCTTTCTCTCTTGCTCCCCCTGCCTCACCCCCATCTACCTCAGCCAAGCTAATGAACCTATGGGGTTTGCTCCTCTTTGTAAGTATTCAACATTAAAACCTCTTTTGGTTATATTTCCTGTTGTGATAAAAATACCCAAAGTAATTTGAGGAAGGAAGCGTAATTTTGGCTCACAGTTTATTATGACAAAGTTATGGTGATAGAAGCTTCAGGCAACTGCTCACACTGAGTCCTCAGTTTGGCTCACTGTTGCCTTTTTTGTAGCATCTAGCATCATAGCTAGGGAATGATGCCTCCCACAATGGACACATCTTTCTACCTCAATTAAAGTAATCAGGACAACCTCCCACAGACATGCCCTGTGTTCCTAGATGAGTCTAGATTTCATCACATTGTCAACTGAGTTTAACATCACAACACCTCACCACAAAACCTTTTTTCTATTTTCTCCAGATCCCTTTACCTGGTTCATCTCATTATGAATAAGTCACTCTTTTGATAAAAACAAGACCTAGCTACCCCCTCCTGTCACACCATCCCCCAACCACACACACACACACACACACACACACACACACACACACACACAACACTGGATTTGTAGGCACATGTAAGACCACATTCAGATTTCTAAAGGAATGCTCAGATCTTCAGACATGGGTCCTACTTGCTCAGCTACTTGCTGAGCAGGCACACTTAGACATGAACAATCTCTCCAGCCCTGCATTTCATATTTTGATCAATACAATCATTATGAATTAAGGCAAAGACATTTCAGCCAACCATGGAAGTATACACCTATAACCCCAGTATTCTGGGTGCAGAAGCAAGAGTGTAGAGGTTAGTCTAGGCTATGTGACCCTGTCTCAGAAAAGCAGGGTTCAGGGAAAGATAGCTTCAAACCATCACTCACTCTCTGTTCTCATAACCTGGAATGGTCCAAACTATGTAAGATCATCCTACCCTTCATTCTACTAAACAACCCACCACCCCTGTAAAAAAAAAATTAAAAAAAAAAAAGATAAAAAAAAAATCCTCCCTCAACTTATGTAAGGGGCCTGTAAAAAAGACTTCAAAAACTCAAGTAACAAATCCTGGTGCAAATTTAAAGACCTGACTCCCAAGCATAAGTTCTCTTAGAAGAGGGCAGAAAGATACAATGTACCAGCAACAGGGTTATAGGGAGGGGGTCCAAGCTAGATAAGATGGAAACATCACTGCCAAGGTTGTATTTACTCTGTAAATGGTTTCTGCAAGCCAGGTTAAGCAGCCAAGTGGAAAGCCAAACACAGACAACAGCTGTGGAGGATGTCTCTGTAGACAGGGAGCTGGGTGTGGTCACTCCCGAATCCGACTTCCACCCCACCCAATGAGCCAGTGACCGGGCTGAGAAGAGAACTTCCCATATTGCATTCCAGCCCTCCCTGCTGGGTTTCATGACCATGCTAGAGACTGACTGCAAGCTACATGATAGTACTGCTCAGTCCCCTTTCAACAATGTTTCCCTGGAGACACTAAGCTGCTGAGAATGCCATGTCCAGACAGCCAAGATGCTGGAATGACCCGAAATGGCCATTTGATTATGAGGTGTGAGTCAATGCCACCATCTGCCTCCAAGGGCTGGATGGAAGCGAATGGCTTATATGGGTCTTTCCTGAATTGCACAAGTCAGAAGGCATCCCTGTTCCCTTCTACAATATCCTAGGAGCCCCGAGGACTGCACCACAACAGAAGATCTTCATTACTCAATTTGCCACCCCTTTTATTGGAAACCCTGATGGCTCCACTCTCTAGAAAGAATCCATCAAGTGTTTCTTTGTTGAAGTCATCCTGCAAAAACTCCCATCATCAAATTCCCCACATTAGGCCCTCTGCTTCCCTACTTAATAAAAGACTCAAGAATGGATCAGATATTGATTTTTGTTTTCCTTTCTCTCTTAGCTTTTTAAATCATGGAAAAATGTCAGACCCACCCAGTGAGAGAGAGAGGAATGTATACATGAGAGTCAGGCCTCTTCTATTCTGTGGGTACCAGAGATCAAACTCAGGTCATCAAGATTGTTGGCAAATACCTTTACCCTCTGAGCCATGTCTCCATCCCTTAACTGAAATTTTTGTTTGTTTTTCAAAACAGGGTCTCTCTGTGTAGCTCTGGCTGTCCTGGAATTCACTGTGTAGACCAGGCTGGTCCCAAACTCACAGAGATCTGTTGATAATTGGTTTTTTTACTCTTTTGGCTCTTTGCTCTTTGGGGAGGTTTGCCAGCCAGTTCCTAAATAAATACACTGAAACTTAATTTTACTTATGACCAGCCTTAGCTTGGCTTACTTCTAGCCAGCTTTTCTTAAATTATCCCATCTACCTTTTGCCTCTGGGCTTTTACTTCTTAACTCTGATGTAGGTTATATAGCTGGGTGCCTGGCCCTTGTTGTCCTCCTCTGCTTCTTCTTTTTATTGTTCCTCACTCTTTTCTTCCCAGATTTCTCCTTCCATTTATTCTCTTAACCCGCCAGCCCCGCCTATCCTTTCTCCTGCCTAGCTATTGACCATTCAGCTCTTTATTAGATCAATCAGGTGTTTTAGACAGGCAAAGTAACACAGCTTAACAGAGTCAAACAAATGCAACATAAAAGACTGTAACACATCTTTGTATCATTAAAACAAACATTCCAGTACAGAGAAGTTTAGCATGGCCCTTGTGCAAGGATGACATGCAAATTCATGAAGCATTCCATACTTTTGAATGTAAAAAAAAAAAAAAACAAAAAAAACAAAACATAATTTTAAAAGAAATACCAAAAAACCAACCAAACAAACAAACAAATGTCTCACAGCATAAACAAGTATAACACATCTTAAAATAATATTCCACAATAGAAATCTGCCTGCCTCTGCCTCCTAAGTGCTGGGATTAAAGGCATGTAGTGTTGCTGCCCAGTCCTTAACTGAACTTTTAACTTTATTGTTTTGTTCATAAGCAATTCAGCATCCATCTTAAATTAATAAGGATTTTCTTCTCTAACAACCTCAGCAGAGGCTACTATTTACTTAGTGACAACTGGTTAACTATACTAATTCAATGAACCATGGAGAAACTCTTTATACTTTTTATTTCATGAAATTTCAAAGCAAGACTTGGCATGGAAGGGCTGGTTTTGGTTCCCCCTGATACACAGGCATGAGTATCACTTCCATTGTCTGCACATCTGCTTTGCTTCTTAACTACTTTATCACTCAAAGAACTATTGTCAAGCTTCAGGTAAAGGTGTTCTGCCCAAATTCTGATCCCCAAAATCAACAAGAGGCCCATTCCAATGCAAAAGCAAAGCATCTTTTATTAATTAATGAGTTAAATGTTATTAACTTGGGCCCTTCTTCTGTCCAACACGGTGGATGGCTTGAGAAGGACCCGGAGAAACCAGGAGATGGGTAATATATTGGGATGTACAAGGGGAGTATCTAGGGGTTCACAACAGTCTCAAGACTGGGTGCACTTCTGGGCTTGGGCCACCTGCCCTGCGTTGATTGGTCAACTGATTGTTGTGGCCTATAGGCCTTCCCATGGTGGTTGCTATGCTCTGCACGGCGCTATTGTTGCCACTTTTGCCGTAAAACACCATAAAACAAGCCCAGAGCCCAACAGCTAACTTCTGATTGGCTCCTTGTCACATGCCCTAGTGACTGGGCGGGGCAGATAAGATCAGACACATGCTGAATCAGAGGTCTACATCTTGCTTGGTCTTTTCTGCAGCCTGTCATGACTGCTAAAGCAGGGGCTGGGCGAGGCTCTGGTCCCTTCGAAGGTAGTGCCTTAAAAATAGACCCTGTTCAGAGCTGGAGAGATGGTTTAGTAGTTAAGAGCTCCAGGTACTCTTCCAGAGCACCACATGGCAGCTCACAACTGTGTGTAACTCCAGTTCCAGGGGATCTAACACCCTCACACAGACACACACATACAAGGTCAAACACCAATCCACATAAAATACTTTTAAAAATGGACCCTGTTCTGTAGAAGCAGTTTAGAAAATCCAGTGTCTATGTATGTGTGTGGAACTGACAAGAACTGATCGTCACACACAGTGATCACAGCGAAGGGTTTTACTTTTTTATTTTTTTATTTTTCTGGATACTCTTCACCTTGGCGATCAGTCTCACACTTCATCTACACATCTAGACTCGGGAGAACTCAGAGCAGGGAAGATTTACCTTAGTAAATAAAAGCAGGGCTCCAACAGCTGGAGAGATGGCTCAGGGAGTAAAGGTGTTTGACCATGCAAGCCTCTGGATCTGAGTTCAATCCCTGGAACTGGCACAGGAGGAGGTGATGACTGACTCCACATGGCTCCATAAACTTGTCCACTGATCTACATACTCTCTCTCTCTCTAAAATGATAATATAGTTGTTTGGTTTTTTAAGTGGGAGGTCATGCTCACAGCTTGCAGAGGGCCTTTGTCTCAAGGAGAGGCTAATAACCCCAGTCCAAGTCACTAAGATCCCATATAGACTTCAGGCCACCACTGGTGGCTTGGTCTTCTGACCCAGATCATCTGCCACTTGACAGTCACAAGGTACTGTGGACTTTCCCTTCACTGACTCCTGTTGTTTCTTGCTATCGACTTCTTCCGGTTCTCTTCACTTTATGCAAAAGTGTGCCAGGGGTTAGGTCACTTATACAAAGGAGCCGCCAGGAGCTGAAGTTGTGGGTGAGGGCTATGCCTAACAAGATCTACACAGGCTGATAAGCAGGCCAGCACTACACCCAGCGCTTGCTAAGACAGGCGCAGTTCCTCATGCTTTGCCTTCTCCACTACAAATATGTTTGGGTGTCTTCGTGGTTTATCCCTCTGCCCACTTTGCTCTTCTCAGGTCTCTTCAATGTACTCGGGCCTCCCTGAGTATCTGGCATCAGCAAACAGCCCATTGCCACTGCTGAGCCCTTAATTCTGCTTTGTCTGTCTCTATCCATCTTATCACACGTTTATTATCAGTTGACCCTGCCATACCCCACCCACCCAACACACCCAGAGTGGGATTCAAACACAAGAATTCTTGTGAAGCATGGAAGGTCTCCTGCAGAACAAACAAGATCACTAATCACAGAACACCCCTTTGGAGAGAAGGGGCACTTTAGTGAATTCATAGGGAGATGCAGATATGCCATCCAGAGCCAGCGTTCACCCCGAAGCCCAGCTGTTCTGATAGCAATACCTTTTCTGAACCTCTGTCCCCTAAGAAGGCAGCAGAATGTGTGTTATTTGTTCCTGAACTTTGTCACTGCCCCGCAGGAATCTACATGACCCTTCCCAGCCGCTTGCCATTGACAAACGTTCAGGCACGTAGGCTTTCAGAAAAACCCATCCCTCTGGAGCTGCACCACAGAAAGGTGTTCCTTCAACAACACAAAGATTTATGACTTCTTTCCCCCACAGAAAAACCACAGGAATATTTCCTTCTTGACTACAGCAGTGAGTTCCAAGTTTCATTAAAGAACTGGCCAGATACTTCCTCCTCAGTGGCGTGGGAAGACTTTATGATAGAGAGTGTTTGAAACTTTACCTCTGCACACCTGCCTCATAACTTCACTCTCTTCCAACTGGTCTTCTGTTTCTCCAGGGTCAGGGCTTAGTGGCTGCCTCCTCAGACAGCTGGGGCTCTGAGTCCCCCTCTCCATTAATAATAGATGGTTCTTACTGAATTGCACCCCTGCCAGAAACCAGGCATGACAATTTACAAGTTGGCTTGAGTTTTTTGTGGTGGTGATGGTGGTTTTTAATTTCTATGTATTGTGCTGGGCTATGGTGGCACATGCCTTTAATCCCAGCATCCAGAAGGCAGAGGCTGGTGGATCTTTGTGAGTTCCAGGTCAGCCTGGTCTACAGAGCGAGTTCCAGGACAGCCAGGGCTATACAGAGAAACCCTATCTTGAAAAACAAACAAGAAATATGTACTGCATGCATATAGAATTCAGAGGACAACTTTGTAGAGTTGGCTCTTTCCTACTTTTATGTGGATTCTGGGCATGGAACTCATGTTATCAGGTTAGTGTGGCAATCCACCGAACCAAATGGCTGACCCTTGGCTCAAGCTTTTAACCACTATGTCTGTTGCCATGCATCAGCTCCCTCCAGTATATTTGCAGAAAGGGAGTTGGTTTTCCATTTGCTGAGCTAGTCCCTGCTAGCCTGATCTGCCTTCACTGGCTGCTAACCTGCACACATAGTTCCATGGACTCTGGCCTCTGACTCAGGGCAGCCACCTTCCCTATATGGTGCCTTAGGGCTGTAGTAGACAGAACAATGGTTCCTAGGAAGGCCTGTGAGTTGATTTCCTTACATGGACTTGAAGATATGATTAAATTGAAGACCTTGAAATGGAGAGGTTACCCTGGATTAGCCTGGGAAACACGGTTTAAAAGGGGGGGGGGTGTCCTTATGTGGCAAGGAGGAGAGCAGGAGAGTCAGAGTGAGGATGGCAGTGAGGCGGGAGGGGCTGAGGAATGCAGACTATTTGCCCCTGAATTCGAACCTCCCTAAGAGTTCTGCTCCTACTGGTGCCTCCATTCCAGGTTTTAAGACGCCCGAGATAAGGAAACGAATTGCAAATGTGTTTTCAGTCACAAGTTCGGTAACTTATACCTACAATAGGGAACTGATGGAAAAGTCCTGGAGGGAAGCCATGCTGTTCTAAGTACAGTGAACTTAGAACACAAGAGGCAAAACTTCAGGCCCCCACCTTCATGATGGTTTCAGCCAACCCTGCTCCCAGGGGGATAACCTATAAGACCCAGCTGGTGTTCACTAGCTCAGGCCTGGAATTCCTGGTTCCTGGGGAATGGCACACAAGGTTAGCTACCCCCAGGCTGAGCCACAGCAAACTTCAGGTCTCTATGCCCTTTTCTTTCCAAAGTTGTTCTGCTGCTATAAAGTCAAGAACCCTGTCTCCTCCTTTTTCCTCTTAGGTTCTTCTTAGAAGAGAGGGTGGGGGAAAAACAGCCTCAATGGAAATCTGTTAGTAATCTGCTTTTATTCAAGTTCTAGGAAGGAGCTCCCAAGCCCCAAGTGCATAGACCCACCCTCCCTTTTTTTAAATGCTGGAGATTGAACCCAGGATATCATGCATGCTAAGTCCACATTATACCACTGGACAAAAACTTCAGCCAAAATACCTCTTTCTTTTATTGCATTTATTTATTTGTTTATTTGCACATGTCTGTATTCAGATGAATACCACAGCCTGATGGTGGAAGTCAGAGGACAACCTATAGGGAGCTGTCTCTCTTCCACCATGTGTGTTGGGGATCCAACTCAGGTTGGCAACAAAGTAAATTTACCCAGGAGCCATCTGGACAGATAATCTTCTTTGTACTTTTTTGTTGCTGGTTTTCATTTTGGGTTTTGTTGTTTTAAAATTACATGTGTGTGTGTGGGGGGGTATGTGTTTATGGATGCCAGAATGTGTTTGGTAGCCTGACACTGGTGTTACAGGTAGTTGTGAGCCTCCTGACCTGAGGGTTGGGAACCAAACTCTAGTCCTCTATAAGAGCAGCAAGTGTTCTTAACCACTTAAACCAGGTCTCCAGCCCCTGTTTGGTTTTTGAGACAATGTTTTAAGCAGGCCAGATTACCTTTAAACTCAGCTATATACCTGAGGATGACTTTGAACTAGTGATCCTCCTACCTCTTGAGTGCTAGGATTAAAGGCTTGCCCTAGCATGCCTAGCTTTATTAGGTGCTGGGAATT